CGACCCAGCCAGCAGCAGCAGCAGCAGCAGCAGCAGCAGCAGCGGCTGCGGCGGCGGCAGTGGCCGCGGGAGCAGCAGCGAGGGGCAGCTGATATCGTTTATCGATACGCCTGGCCACGAGGCAATGAGCAGCATGAGGGCCCGCGCAGCAGCAGCAGCAGATGTTGCTGTTGTGGTGATCGAGGCAAATAAGGAGCAGCAGCAGCAAACTGAAGAAGCCATCAAGCAGGCAGATGCATGCGGGCTGCCCGTTATCTTCGTCCTGAATAAAATAGACAAGCTGCTCCCCAGCACCAGCAGCACCAGCAGCAGCAGCAGGGTGCGAGCGGCCCTGCTGCAGCTGCAGGAGGCAGAGCAGCAGTTGCTGCAGGGCAGCGAGCTGTCCGCAGCAGCGGCAGCAGCAGCAGCAGCAGCAGCCCAGAGCGCCCACGGCGCTGCGCTGCAGCAGCTGCTGCTGCTGCGCATGCAGCTGCGACGAGCCTGCCAAAGAATGGCGGAAGAAAAAATAATTGAAAGAGATTTTAGTTCAGAGGCGATGAATGCCCTGGCTATTTCCGCCCTCTATGGCCATGGCGTGAAGGTGGGCTTGGCCTAGGGTTTAGGGTTTAGGCTTTAGGGTTTAGGTTTTAGGGTTTCGGGTTTGGGTTTTAGGGTTTAGGGTCGCGTAATCAGTGTCTTGGGTCAGCCAGGTAGCGGCACTGCTGCTGCTGCTGCTGCTGCTTTTGCTGCTGTTGAGGTTGCTGTTGCTGCTGCTGCTGCGAATGCCGCAGTGCCTCTTAGCTTCAGCAGCAGGGGAGTTGGTTTGCTGCTGCCTCCGATGCTGCTGCCTCTCTTGCTCCCGCCCAAATGCTCCTTTCGCTGTGCTGCTTCTGGTCTGCTGCTGCTGCTGCAGCTGCTTCTCAGCCGCATTGCTGAAACGACGGCGCTGCTGCAGCTTCCCCTGAGGGGACCCTCGTCTTTCTGCGTGACTCCCGGAGCTGCAACCAGGTAGCGCCGCTGCTGCTGCTGCTGCTGCTGCTGCTGCTGCTGCTGTTCAAGTTGCTGCCGTTGCCCTTGGAGCTGCTGCTGCTGCTGCTGCTGCTGCTGCTTCTGCATCTGTTGCTGCTCGTGCTGCTGAGACTGGACATGTGTGGCTCCTGCTACTCAATTCGCTGCTGTTGATGGCGGCGTTGCTGCTTTTGCTGCTGCTGCTGTTGCTGCTGCTCCAGGTACCGGCACGTGCAGCGGCGCTCAGACTGCCTTGTGGAGGGCCACTTGGGTCCCTCAGCCGTAGGGCTCATTCTGGACATACAGCAGACACGAGACCGAGGCCTTATTTACACTGTGCTACTGAAGTCAGGGGCTCTGTCCACTGGTGAGCAGCAGCAGCAGTGCTGCAGCAGCAGCAGCGGCGGCACCAGCAGCAACGCAACTAGTTAGCAGCAAGTTTAGCAGCGGCACTAGCAGTGTCCTCACACCAGCAGCAGCAGCAGTAGCAGAAGCAGCAGAATAAACTTCGCCATCCACGTGAGCATCCGCTAGACTCGCAGCTGCAGCCTTAGCACCCTGAACTCGCTGCACCTGGCAGCACCTGGAGCACCAGCAGCAGCAGCAGCAGCAGCAGAGGGTCGTGTGCATGCGTGAGTTGTGGGGCAGGGAACTACTTCGTGGCTGGCAGCGTTTATGGGCGCATTTCTTCGGTGTGGCGGCACAGCTGTACCTTCAAGGAGGCCCCCTACACTCCGGAGGCCCTAGGAGAAGACAGGGGCCCCTTGGGGGCCCCCTTTGAAGTGGGTTCAGTTTTGGAAATAGCCTCGCAGCGGGGTAAGGGGGGGGAAGCGGCAATAGATGATTTGCTGCTGTGCCTCCCTCAAACCAGGGCCTACAGGCTGGCCAAGTACCGGCAGGCTCTGGAGCAGAAGCAGCAGCAGCAAATTGACGGGCCCCTGCTGCAGCTGCCCTGGGAAGTCGACCACCCCAAGCAGCCGGGCAGCAGGTGGCACCTGCTGCAGCAACAGCAGCAGCAAATACGGAGGCCTGTCTCCGCAGGAAGGAGGGCCATCGAAGAATTCGGGATCCCAGATGACGACAGCAGCAGCAGCAGCAGCAGCAGCAGCAGCAGCAAAGGTCCCCTCTTCACGGACGCCACAAGAGCTGACTTTGAAAGGCCGATGCGGAGCCTGCCACTTCAAGGCAGGTGTAGAGACACCCCAGGCGCCGACGCCGACGGTGCAGCAGCAGCAGCAACAGCAGCGCCCGGGGAGGAGCTCCTTGATGAGATGGAGCTTCTAGGGATGCGCCCAAAGACGCAGCAGCAGCAGCAGCAAACCAATGCTCGGCCTGATCATATTGATCTCGAGCCAATCGTTGTCTCGCCAGAAGAAGACTCAGATGATGATGAGATGCTTTTCTATGCAGAGAAGCAGAAGGAACAAACGCAGCAGCAGCAGCAGCAGGACCAAGAGCAGCAGCAGCAGCAGCGGCAGCAGCTGTCTGAAGTTCAGCAGCTCGGGAGGTCTTCTACGCGGCGCCGTCGGCAGCTGCAGCACCCCAACAGCAGCGAGGCCAACAGCACTGCATGGGGCTTCGCCTCTGCAGCGGAAGCAGCAACAGCAGCAGCAAAAGAAATGGAAGCAGAAGGAGAGGCAGCAGCAACAGAAACAGGAACCGCTGCAGCAGCAGCTGCTGCTGCAGCAAAAGGCGCCGCAGGCTCCAGTTCGCTGCGGCCATTCGAAACGCAAGAGGAATGGGCCGAACGCGTTGTAAGGGAAAATGAAGAGCTGATGAGCCGCTGGAGGGCAAAGTCAAGACAAAGAGTAAGACTTGATGGTAAAATAAATAAATAAATAAATAAATAAATAAATAAATAAATAAAAGTCTTTGCGCTTAGTAGTTTATATGCACATGAACAATGACGTACTACTGGCTGCATGTGCATGCAAAAACGTACGCAGTATATAAGCGTGTGCGTACATATATATATATATATATTCTAACTTGAAAAGTGTACAGCCAGACCCGTATAAGAAAGTATATGTGTATAAAGGCGCGTGTTCAAGTATATTTATATATAAATAAGCACATCTTCAGGGGTATCAGTTGACGAGTACATATACGTATATTAGAAGTACATATATGCTTATATATGTGTGTATACATATATATGTATATATATAATGCAGATGTGCATGCGTACAAGTACACAAGTATGCGCATGCATATGTGCTTGTGTATACCCAAGTAGCTTATCAAATTTGAACACTTTCAAGACACTAATAACTTTCAAGAGTACATATGCGCAGCGAAGAAAAAGTATTTGCGAAAGATTTGTTTTCTCCATCTTCTGACATAGATGCAATCAAGTCAGTCCTCAGAAAATATGTAGATGCGTATGTTTTTTATGAAGGCTTGTTTTGAAGCGCACGATGAAATTTGTCTATTAAAGATATGATAAATTTGAAGGCATATTTCATTGTATTATTACACTTGCACTACCTTTTATGGAAGTGCTCCGGGCATTGGCATGCATGCGCATGCATGCAACACGGCCGTGCATTTCACATGCATACCATCAAAGTGTTCTTTAGCTTTTGCAAATGCTACATATAAGGGACTAGGAATAGAAAAAGAGACACAGGCACCTCCGGAAACGCTAAGCCCTAAACCCTAGCCCTAAATCATGGGCTTGTGGTTCGTGAGTATCGCGCAGGAGCACTTGCTGCTGCGCAGGGTGTAGGGCTTCGGGTACCGGGCACGGAGTTCAGGGTTTAGGGTTTAGGGTTTAGGGTTTGGAGCTTAGGGTTTAGGGTTTGCCCGCGCATTTGCGGGCGCGCTTTGCTGCAGAAAGAAGCATATGAGCAGCAGCAGCGGCTGTTGCGTGCTACAGTTGTGGAGGCCGAGCAGCAAAGACGGAAAGCTCTTCAAGAGCCGCTGCTGTCGGAAGAAGAAGTGAACCAGCTGATCAACGGAGAAGACGAAAAGCCCTTAGAGAGCTCCACAGACAAACAGGAAATTAAAGTAAGAGAGCCAAACCCTAAACCCTAGCCTCGAAGCCCTAGACCCTAGCCTCCAATCCTTTAACCCTAGCCTTTAAACCCTAAAACAAGGACTAAAAGCTTCAGCCGGGGGTTATATGATAATTGCTCTGCTGCTTCTTTGTGCTGCCTTAGACTATCCCTGCCCCCCCCAAAGATGCTCCAGTGGTGCCAGTGATCCTTCGGACACGTTACGTGGGCAGCTTCGACTTGCTTATGGACGAATTCGAGAAGATAGAGGTGCTGCTGCTGCTACTGCTGCTGCTGCTGCTGCTGCTGCTGCTGCTGCTTCACTTCGTTCATATGTATATATAAATACTGCATACAAGCATTTAGACGTACTATAAATTCATAACTCGATGGATATTCGGAGTTACTTTGTGCGATGATTATCTTTTTTCAGGTGGAAATGGGAATGCGCATTCCAGTGGTCCACGGAGGCATTGGCCCAGTGGCCCCCCGGGATATAGTGCATGCAGAGGTGGAGCGAAGTTACGGCTACTGCCCGGTGTATGCCTTTCAAGTGCCAGTGCTGCCGGACGCAGTGAAGCAGGCCTTGGTGAGCAAAGTTATTGTCAAGAAGTTCGACGTTTTCACTGATTTAATTCAAGATCTCAGAGACAGATGCACCAACATCCACAAACTCCGAATGCACAACCTCTACGTCCGCAGTCTCAAAAAGCAGCCCACAAAGTCAGGGCTCTGAAGCCAAATGCACACTGTACGAAGCAGCACCTCCAGGAGCCCCATAGGGGGCCCCTAGGGGCCCCTATGGGGCTCCCTGGTCCCTCTCTTTGGGGGCCCCCTGGGGGCCCCTAAAGAGAGGGACCAGGGAGCCCCCCTGGGGCCTCCGAGTTCGTCATTAAAGCCCGACGTCTTTGAGGAAAGCACTCAGCCATTCAGTGGGGCTTATGAAACCGCGGCAGGGCCCCCAAAGCCTGAGCAGTTTCGCACAAAGGGGCCTCTGAGGCGCCTCGCGGAGCTTTGCTTTTAGGGGGCCCCCAGGCAATTCTTTGGACAGCCGGCGAGACGTTGGGGCCCGCGTTAGATGATCTGACTGGCTTGGGACTCTTTTTATTTTATATTTTTTGTCATTATATGGTGATGTGGGTTTTGTTGTGCTGCCAGCTCCGTGTAGACCTGGTGGGTCCAATGTTGGGCCAAGTGGCTCTTATGCCCAGGGGTACATGACTCTAGGGAACTTTTCCAGCGAAGGGGAATGGTGTTGAAAGCAATGAGTTCAGATAAGTTGCAAAGTCAGGGTAATTGGGTATTCAGCACGTCGCGAGCTCACGGCAGACCTGATTCCAAGGTTTAGGATTTAAGATGTGGCGTTCGTTATGTATAATTCCAAGGGAGTCTACATCGCATGTTTGGAGGAGCTTCTGAGGGATTTAAAGGTCTTCTTTTGTTTGCTACTTTTCTATGTTGGCTACAGCCACCGGCAGGCGTGCGGGTTTTCGTTCCGGTGCGCAGGGCTTAAGGAAAGCTCAGGTGTTTTTTGCGAGACAGCGCTCAATGAAATGCAGGAAGTCTGCCATTTCCTTGGCGTTAGACTCGTGGCCAAGTCTCTCATAGGTTTTAAATTCGAATCTACTCGCCACTGTTGCGGGATCAGCAGCAGCAGCTGCTGCTGCTTTCTTCGTTGCCTCCACAGCGGCTTCATACGACTGCCGCGCGAAGCTGTAGTCAACTACTGTGTCTGCCACGCCGTGCATGTGCATGAACTGACAGTTGCCGCTGGCAAACGCCTTTTGCACGATTAAATCGTGCAGAAACGGGCACCAGCCACTGAGGCAAATGGCTGCGGCCAGAGGGGTGTCCGAGCGCAAGGGAGTGTAGTAGGCCATTGCGCCTCCCTGGCTGAAGCCCGCCACAATGATCCGTGAAGGTTTAATTCCGTTTTGTATTTCTTGTTGAATTAAATGTTGAACGCGGCGGTGGCTGCGCTCGAAACCCTTTGCGTCTTCGTCTATGTCCCGGCGCTCCGAACGCGAGTCAAACCACGCGTTGCACTCTATGTCATATTTTGTAATATGAATTCTGTCCGCTGTTGGCAAAATGAGGCGCACGCGGCCCCGCAGGGCCTCTCTGCTGTCCAACAAGCCAGCCAGCACCCCCCAGCCCTCCCCGCTATCGCCTCGTCCGTGCAGAAATATCAAACTTGAGTCTGCACTGGGGGGGAAAAAGTGCACCCCATTGCCTCCGTAGCCATCGCCGGGGTGCAGCTCTTCTTCGGGCCGCATTTTTGGCTCGAAGTGACCCCAAAGCCCACAATTTAAATCCAGCGCGGGGGAAGGAAACGGACGGAAAATGGTGAGCCAGGGCCCTTTTGAAACTGCTATTGGACAAATGAAGTCATACTTATTTATCTGATGCAGCCCAGTCGATCCATTTCGTGGGAATGCATCAGGTTTCGGAGTCAAGACAACGAGAGAGTACGCGCTAGTAACTCTCAACCACTACAGAGGCCAGAAGACACTGGCTGCAGGCGAGCTCCCTAGACAAAACTGTAGTGACTGCACTGAAGGCCCAACTTTCTGCAGTTACAACAGGGCACTTTTAATTTTTAATTTTATTTTATCTTTACATACTCATCTACAGCTTAAAAGCGCTGTTCCGGACGCTGTGTGTGCTGCCATAGGTGTTCAGGATGTGGGGCGGTCGGCTGCGCCCAACGCTAGCAGAGCCACTCGATTTCTCTCTATTTGAGTTTTCGTCATTTTTAGATGTCACTATATGTACTTCACAGTACTGTGCATTTTACATCACTAGCAACGTATTCGTCTAGTCTGCATTTGCTACGCCAACGACCAGCACCCACACGAATAGTTCCTCTGTGAAGTCTGCGCTCCCAAATGAGCGCTAATTACTAGTGTCCACAAATATTCATCAAACCATTTCTATTAATCACATTAATTTCGGTCCCTAGAGCACGTACATGGCCAACACCCCGTGGGACATGGTATGTCTCACTGGTGACGCTGTCCCCTCCAGCCCGCTGAAGTGAGAACTAGCGACTTTAATTCCTGCACTGTAGAAGGAAACAGGGCTTTCTCAGTTGGGGAAACAGCAGCTAGCGACAGCTAGCCACCGCCAGCTGCGGCTAGTCATACACCGACCCGTAAGAACGCCGCAGTTTTACGACTTATTGTACAGCCAAGTGTGAAATAGTAAAGGTGCTTTGCAAACCGAAGGGAGCTTCCGTGAATGCTACGCCGTGCTACATTTTGAAAGCCGGCCAGCTCTCAACCCCTCCCTGCAACTGAAAAAGGAACAAATAGAACAATGTTACTACTTTCGTAGGAAGGAGCACTTCGGTGAGTGGCTCAACAGACAAAAAGCTAACAAGAAAATGTGCAGCGAGGCGCCCCCACCGCAGTCAGCTGACTATAATGTCTTTCCTGGCAGGCGCCGGCAGTCACTTTCTTTGCTGCGCTGCGTCTGCTGCTGCACTTTGCTTCCCCTTGCTTTCTTATCTTTGTTTGCTTGTCTTTGTCTTCTTCATTTTTACAAGTTCGGTTAGCGCTGGCTCGTTGCAGCCTTTTGGAACAAGCGCTAGGCCTTTGCCTCTCGCGAGCGCCCCAGCACAGACAACTCGGACTCGTCGCTGTCGGGGGGAGCGCCTCACGCCGTTCACTAACCCCACAAGAATAAATCTTTTCCACTTTGTATTTCTTTCTTCTCTCTCTTTTCTCTTTCGTTCACTCTCTCAGTTATCATAACGACGGTACAGCAGCGCCCGCGCGCGAGCCAGCGGCGAAGTGCCTTCGCTGGCTTTCCTTTGGCGGCCTCTCATCATGCGCATAAATTCGTCGAAGTCGATCATGCCGTCGTTGTTGAGATCCCCCTGCAGCCCGAAAAACCAAAAACGCTAAATTTGAAACACTAAATCGAATTTAAATCCATTTTCGGCGATTCTGGAGCTCCTCAACACTAAAAAATTCAAAAAGGGCAAGTAATACGTGCGCCGCCTGCGTTATTCTGTACTCTTAAATGAGCGTGAACTGCAAGCCGCAGCTGCAAGACATCCAAAGATTCAGAAAGTGTTCTGACGCACCTCTCTAATCATTTCAAGGACAGCCTCCTTACTGAACGCCTCCTTAATGTAATTCGTCTCGAGCACTTTATGCAATTCATCTCTGTCAGACAAAAGCGCACAAAGCCAGCAAGAGCTGCACCTCCACTGCTGACCTGACATGCATTTCATTAAATTGGAAACAGCAGCAAAACGAATACATGTGCAGAGCAGGCCATCGGCAAAGGGAAAAAATAAAAGAAACATGAGGCACAGTAAACCGTAGGACTTGAATTAGCGTAAGCTGCACAGGAATTCCACTGCTACTTAGCAGTACACAGCGCACAGATGCAGCAGAAAAGCAATTTCGTTCTTGCCAGTTTGATCCCGATTCATTTTGAAATTCTTACACGGATATCTTGCCGTCGCCGTCGAGGTCAAAGACCCTGAAGGCGTTCTGGCAGGCGGATTCCTGTTCATAGATTTTGTGATCCATGGAGGCGGCGATGAACTCGGTGTAGTCAATTGTGCCGTTTCCGTCGGTGTCGAGTTCCTTAAGCACTTCGATCACGTCTTCCCCTTGAATGCCGCACTGCTCCAGCCCCTGCTGCATTTCGCTCACAGTGAGGACTCCGTCTGCGTTTTTGTCCAGCGCGGCGAAAGCGTCGTGCAGCATGCCGATTTCACTGTCGGAGAGCTGGTAGGCCACGCAGGTAATGGCCAGTCTCTTCAGCTTGTGCAGCCGCTGGAAGTTTTTGAAACGTTCTATCAAATCCGACCCAAGACGCACTGAAAGTGCCTGCTCCACGCCCCCGTGGCCCGCAGCATAGGCCTGAATCCACGGGTGCTGCAGCGCCTCTTGCGCGGTGATACGTTTCGAAGGCACGTAAGTCAAACATCTTCTCACCAAGTCCTTCGCCGGCTCCGAAATCCGCTTCCAGTGGCGCGGGTCAAAGCTGAACTCCCCCGCCTGCACTTTCTTCAGAATCGCCTGGTTGTCTTTCCCATCTGGGACCCGCGAAACGCAGCAGCAACGCAACACAAGCAGCATTCCCCTCTATTTCTACCCTTATGTTCGCCCATTTGTTCAATATTCTATTTATACAAACACATAGTGCGAGCTCCCAACAAAACCTCCAGGAAAACAAACGCTCAAACTGCACACTAAGCTCAAGAAAATCTGCTGCCCAGGCATGCCCGGCTTGCGCCTGCGCCGCGACAAGCCACAACCCGCTTTGACGATGACTAGCAGTGCAACTTGACGCGCAGCAGAAGCAGCAGCAGCAGCAGCAACGCTCCCCAAGGCGTTCAACGGCGCAGCGATGACAAACATAGATAAAGGTAAATGGATTACTTCACTTGAAGACATGATGCCAACTTGAACGTCGCCGGCACTGCGGGCGAAGATATTCGAATGTATGTTTGCCAAGGGATATATATGCACATGCATCCGTTCTGGCATTGTCTACATATTTGTGTATAGATGTATACAACCGTGAAAAGGGAATATAAATATGTGGATATACACATATATTTGCCCTTTTGTATCATGTAACTGATGCCTTGGCTTACGGAAAGGCGGATAGCCGCAAAGAAGAATGAAAAGAATGACACCTGTGCTCCATATGTCGCACTCGCTGCCGTACTTGCCGAAAAGAACTTCAGGCGCAACGTAATAAGGCGTGCCCACGACGCTGCTGAACTTATGGCTGCGGCCGCAGCGAGCAGCGAAGCCCCAGTCTGTAGCAGCAGCAGCAAGCAGCAGCAAGCAGCAGCAGCGGGAATGCACTTTATGTGCAGCGCCCAGCAACGCCGGCGCAGGCGAAAGGCAGCAACGGCACAATCAGGCAAAAGCCCGTCAGATAGAGAAACTAAAAGCATTCGAAACAAAAAACCAAGCAAAAGAAGCCAATTAGGCACACAGACCACACACAAGCAAAATGCCCAATCCTACACCGCAGTAGCAGCAGCACCAGCACATTGGCGCTCGCACAGTTGTACAGGTGTTTACACCCGCAGGCACATGCAGATCCGCACTTTTTCTTGGGGATATAAATAAAGATTAAAATGGAAAAGGTAACTATTCTTACGTGCAAAGAGATAACCCATGTTTGCAAAGATTAATTATGGTGCTCCATTTGTGCGAACCAGACGTTTTCAAGAAATTGTGCAAATCATGAAGCAGCCACGCAAGCTTAGGCACAACCCGTGCGTAGTTTGCATCTCTAAATTCGTATGTAATAAATATATATATATATTTAAATACATATAATACACACAGAGAGATACACAGGCAAAACTTAATCGATTATTACATTTACATAAATAGAGAAATATGTAATTGCACAAGGTATATGTATGTACAGATGAATACAAATTGTGAATTTGTCTATCAACAAACAAATCATACAACCCGAAAAATAATAAGGAATGCACGGATGCGCAATCTTCACTCAAGCTGAATAACTGCAGCACACAAAGACAGCTATTTCATTGGCCTGAGGCTCTTCCCCTATATAATAAATATATTTCTGCTAATGCGTGGCGGTCCCACTACCGCCTTACTGTCAAAAACAAATAAAAGTGTTTAAAGTAAACGCAAGATGATTAATCAGCAAACAAAATGCCCCATATTGAATTGGAAAAGCAGCAACAAACAAACTCGGAAGTGAACCCAACTAAAGCAGCAAAAATGTGCTTTAAATATAAAGCGAAACGCCTTAACACAGCCGCCACCACTAGAACTATTAGAGCCCCCAAAGGCCTGCAGCGCTGCAGCACCCTGTATGCTGCTCCATGGATGCTGTTTACGTCCTACAACTGCAGGGCGCAGGTTACTGCAGCTGCAGAGCACTGGTTGCAGCAGCAGCAGCAGCAGCAGCAGTGGGGGGCCTCACCAATGACCTTGAGGGCTGAAAGGGGCGAGCTGTCGGCGTAGAGAAGGTTTTCTGGCTTGAGGTCTCTGTGCATGACATTGTTGGCGTGGCAGTATGCAGCAGCAGAAAAGACTTGGCGCATGAGGCATGCAGCATAGCGTTCGGAAAAGTGGCCACTTTTGATGATGCGCTCAAAAAGCTCTCCTCCGGTGCAAAGCTCCATCACCAGATACAAGTTCTTTTCGTCTTCGTAAACTTCAAACAACTTTATTATGTTCGGGTGGTCCAGGCGCTTCCTGCAGGCCCCCACACCCGCACAGCACGCACTTTTGCTGTTCCCGCTGCAGCAGCAGCAGCAGGAGCTGCAGCAGACCCCCCGCCCTTGCTGGAGCTTCCCGCCTCTCCACCGCCGCACAGCAAACAGCAAAACTACAGGTAGCAGCTGCACTATATCTATAAATATGTATGTATATACATATATATATGCATATATATATCTCCACGCATTTGTACATGTTGAATATTAAATATCTAGGGCAAAAAAACAATATATGTTCACATTGAAACTCGCAGGAGTTAATTAATATGCACGAATGAAAGGGAAGGCGCCTGGGCCGAAAAGACTGTTATAAAAGCAGATCTCCCAGAGAAAAAATGCCACCGAAGTCAACTAATTTAAATGCAAAAATATTTCCATAAAAGAGAATATTTCGGAAGTAAAAAAGGGAATAAATTTCGCAAAATAATTGCAAAAAGTTCAAGTGCTGCACTGGCGAGTGGCTGGGGCCCCACATGATGAGGATTTCCCTCTTGAGGCGAGTGACATTTTCAATGCGGGGCTTGTAGACCACTTTGATGGCCCTCGTGGTCCCCGTCTTGAAGTCCCTGGCCTTCATCACTTGTCCATAAGACCCCTTCCCCAAGTTCTGGCCGTGCGAGAAGTCAAAAATGTCGTTTATGCTCACAGTGCCTGCACGCCCGCAAAGCCCAGCCCCAAAAAGCCTAAAAGGCGTATATAAAAGGGAGCAAAAGAGAACCCAAGAGGACCCTAAAAAGGTCGTTGAGGGTTTAAAAGGATTTAGAAGGGTCTGTAAGGCTGAAGGGAACTAAAAGAGGCCTGAGAAAGACTTAAAAGGGACCTAAAAGAACCTAAATTGAACTTTCAAGAATCTAGAAAGTCCTAAAACTGGTTTGTACGGCCCAAACACCTCAAAAGGTCTGAAAGTCTCTACAGGGTCCAACAAGAACCTAGGAAATGTCCGTGGAGCCTAACAAGAGTCTAACTCGGGAACCCCTGGGCACCTACCGCCTTCTTAAGGGCCCCCAAGTTCCCCTAAGGAGCCCCGAAGGGCCCCTAAAGGCCCCTAAAGGGCACCTAAAGGGCCCCTGAAGGGCCTCTAAAGGGCCCCTACAGGTCCCAAAGAAACCCCTGAAGCCTGAAGACCTCCCAAAGTGCGCCTAAAGTCCCCCTAAAGGCCCCCTGAAGTGCTTCTAAATGGTCCCTAGCCCTAAAATGCCCCTTAGGGCCTCTCAAGTGCGCCTAAAGGGCCCTTTCAGGGCCCCCTAAAGGGCCCCTAAAGGGCCCCTTCAGGGTCCCCTAAAGGGCCCCAAAAGGGCGCCTCCACGGCCCCCTAAAAGGCCCCTAAAGGGCCCCCTAAAGGGCCCCTAAAGGGCGCCTAAAGGGCCGCTAAAGGCCCCCGGAAGAGGGGGAAGGGGGGTGTTCCTGACCGTCGAGCTGGACTTCCTGGACAAAGCGGGAGCGGTCAAAGACGGGCCCCGAGGGCTCTTTGTGGGGCTCTTTGCCGCAGAGCTCGTCCACCTCCCAGCGCGAGGCCGCGCTGGCGTTGACGTAGCTTTCGCTGCGCGTTATGAAACCCTTCGCTGGCTCCCGCAGAGGCTTGTCCTGCGCAGCAACCACGAGGGTTTAGGGTTTAGGGTTTAGGGTTTACGGTTTAGGGGGAAGGAATAGGGTTTAGGGGGACGGGCTAGGGTTTGGGGGGAGGGGACAGGGGACAGGGTTTAGGGGGAGAGGCTAGGGTTTAGGGGGAGGGGTTAGGGTTTAGGGGCAGGGGCTAGGGTTTGGGGGGAGGGGTTAGGGTGTAGGGCTTGAGGGATAGGGGGTAGGGTTTGGGTTGGAGAGGGATTAGGGTTAGGGTTTGAGGGATAGGGATTAGGGTTTAGGCTTTGGGGGATAGGGGTTAGAGCTTAGGAATTAAGACGGGTTAGGGTTTAGGGTTTGCGGGAGAGGGTTTAGGGTTTGACAGAGAAACGTTAGGGTTTGAGGGAGAGAAGTTAGGGTTTGAAAGAGAAGGATCAGGGTTTGAGGAAAACGCGAAGACGTTAGGGCTGAGTGGGCGGGGTCTACGGGCTAGGGTTTAGGGTTTTACGTGCGAGGGTTTAGGGGCTAGGGTTTAGCGGTGAAGGACTAGGAGCTGGGGTTTAGGGTTTAGGGTTTACGAGTCATAGATCAGGAGTTAGTTGAAAGCCACCTTTGAGTGAGTGGGAGGTTTAGAGACTGCGCGTCAGCGTCCAGCGCTCACGGCGCAGAACTGAGCGTTTAGGGTTTAGGGTTTAGGATTTAGGGTTTGTGTACTTTGCCGTCTGTTGCGCATTTGGTGCAGAGTGAAAAGAAGTGGGGCTTTTCTTCAGGCCCGTGGCAGTGGTGATCTGCTGCGCAGTTGGGGCGGCAGGGGGACTCCAGGGGCCTCCCCTCAGCAGTGTCGAGTCTTTTATCTTTTTGCATGTTGGAAGCAGGGGGCCCCCCTCCGCCCCCTGCTGCTGCTGCTGCTGCTGCTGCTGCTGCTGCTGCTGCTGCTGTTGCTGCTGCGGAGGTGGCGGGCGCCGCAGCGGCGGGGTCTCGGTAGGCGCCGGCGCCGCGGCTGGGGTCGACGCCGTTGGGAGACTGCGGCGGCGCCGCTGCTGCTGCTGCTGCTGCTGCTGCTGCACTCGGGCCAGGGGCTTCTGCCGCTGCTGCTGCTGCTGCGTGCTGCTGCTGGTCTGGGCTCGGCCCCCTCACCGTCGGGAGAGTCGGGGCGTAGTGACGCGTCAAATTTAGAATTCTGTTCTTCATGCTATTAACAGACAGTGTGGAGCCACAGGTGAAGAGAGGCCATAAACGGAGCAGCAGCAGCGCGGGCCGCTGCAGCAGCTGCAGCAGCAGCAGCAGCGGCAGCAGCGGCAGCAGCGGCAGCAGCGGCAGCAGCGGCAGCAGCGGCAGCAGCAGCAGGGCCAACGACAGCAGCAGCACCGCCAGAAGCTGCAGCAGAGGCGACAACCTTGAGATGGCCTTCAGTGAAGAAAAAAAAACGGAAAAAGAGGACCACCTGGCTGCTAACCAGCGCTGACTCATTCACCGTGTGCGGGAGGCCGGGGAGATCATGGCGCTTCGAAGCGAAGCGGCTTAAGAGTTAATAAAGGAATTATAATTAATATGAATTGGCTAAAATAAACAAACTCAGCGGCTGCTCCCACATACTTGCGCTATATCGACACCCCCCTGCGCCGGAAGACCGCCGTGCCGAGCGCCGCAACCCAGGAAGCCACCGGGGGCGGACTAAAGTCGTTTTTTGCAGTAATGCTTCAAACTATTGAAAGAAGGGAGCTAGAAACAAGAAGAAACCAAAGAGAGGGGTCGAGCGGGCGCTAGAGGGCCGTACCCTGTCGATGTTGCCTCGGGCTACGGCGCTTGCGGCAGCTCCCCAGCCGTGCACGCACACTCGGGCAGAAACTTCCTACTTTTTCATTATAAAAAAAGAAAAATAACACATCCAATTCAATTTGAAGGCAAGTTATCCAAGTAAATTGAGAAGAAAATAAAGAACTTCGTCTGGCCGCTCCGCGGGACCACCTCAAGGTCCGTCGCAGGCTAGCACGCGCTCGCCGCCGCGCGTTCGTTTTCTCCGGGGAATCTATTGAATTCGAAATTATAAATCAATTATAATTTAACGTTAAATTCAAAATCAAATAAAGGAACAAAAAACCGAGGCTTTCCCGTAGACAAACACCAGCGACACGGCCATGGCCTCTCGATGCTGTCTGAAAGCCGCTCTAAGCGCCCTCACCGGCTTTCTGTTTCCGCCATTTCTTGGCATTTCTCTTTAAATTTAATTTAATTGAAAAGGCAGCTTTAATTGGCATTTAAATTTGCTAAAAAAGAGACAATTTGGAGCCTAACGCGCCCACGCGCCGCCGCGCCTGCTGCTGCGCACACAGCAACATGCGTGGGACTTCTCTGTGAAGCTGTTAGCCACAGAGCAGCACTGTGCTTTCTCCTGCAAAAGGAAAATATATTAAAACCAAAAGGCGTCTCTGAGTTTATTAAAGACTTTTTGAGTGTACATGCACCTGGATCTAGCGAGATCTAGCCGGTTTGATGTCCAAATTCCCATTCACTTTTATATTTGTTAAGGTCGCTCTGTGCAGCTCTAGCGCTTCAGTGGCCCCTCAACTTGCAGCAGCTAAGACAGTTCGTATTTAACAACATTTCGGCTTTCAACTAAAATAAAAGAATTCCAACTTTGCGCATAAGTGGCCAGAAACGCCTCTGGACACACAAGGCAAAGACTGACGCCCCCTGGGGCTTTACAGGGGCTCCATAAGCTCCTCCACTGCAGCTCAACAGAAAGGTGCCGAATATTTATTCCACACTTATCTTCCTACCTACTGCCACTCACGAGGCCCCCGGCCTCGCCAAGGGCCCAGAGCGCCACCAGCGCCAGGGGCCCCCAGGGGCCCCCGGGGGCCCCCAAGGGCTCTCAGGGGCCCTTAAGGGCCCCTGGGGCCCCTGTATGCCCTTAGAGGGCCTTTGACGCCTCTCAGGAGCCCCAAGAACCCCTTAGGAACTTCAGGTGACCCTAAGGAATCTTTTTTGCCCCATTGGGCCTCTGGGGGCACCGGGGGGTCTCTAGGGCCCTTCGGGGCAGCCTGAGGGGGATTTAGTTGCTGCAGCTTTGCTTCTGCAACTTTGCTGCTGCAGCTGCTGCAGCCAGAGGAGGTGTAAACTGACAAAGTTAACACTTCTTCCCCTGCGCGTTGAATTGGACGCGTAAGCTAAACCCTAATTTAGGGTGTCTGGCCCCGAGCTTTGAAGCCCAACTGGGGCCCTAAAGTGTAATTGCTATCGGGGCACTGGGGCTGCTAAACAAGGGCTTTTGATGCTTTTATTTTGATCTGTAAACCATAATTTATCCCCTCATTTAGGGTTAATAAACCCTAATCGTTGCCCTTGGTCCCTGCCCGAGGTGCATACAGGCTTTGCACTCACATAATAGTAAGCATGCAAGAAATAAACTAATGTGCTGCAGCACTAGCTGCTGCTGCTGCTGCACTTGTTGCTGCTGCTGGTGCACTGGCTGATGCTGCTGGTGCAGTGGCTGCTGCACTAGCCGCTGCTGCACTAGCTGCTGCTGCATTCGATGCTGCTGCATCACCTGCTTCATTAACCGCTTTAGCTGTAGTTCGTGCTCCAGCTGCAGCTGCTGCTGGTCTTGAACCCGCACGGTGGCATCTCGCTGCAGGAGCAGCTGCTGCAGCAGTCCCCCAAACAATACGACTCGTTTGTTGTCTTGGATATTTGTTTGTTGGTTTTTCTCTCTGAGAATCAAAAGGCTTATTAACGGGAGCTGTCTATACACCACAAGGGCTGCGTCGCACCTGCTCTTTGTGAAAGGACATCCAGAATGAAAAGACTTTTTAATCCACAGATGTTAGCAACAATTGCACAATTATAATGTACGGGACTTAGCTCTGCAGCGTTCGCTGCTGCAGCAGCTGCCGCAGCAGGATCTCATCTATTGTCTTCGCTGCTGCAGCCACTGCAGCCGCAGCAGCCGCAACAGTTGCTGCAGCCCCACCAGTTGCTGCAGCCGCAGCAGGTGCTGCAGCTGATGCAGGCACTGCAGCTGTTGCAGGTGCTCCAACTGCTGCCGGCGCCGCAGCGGCTGCAGGTGCTGCAGCTGCTGCCTGCGTTACAGCTGCCACAGCTGCTGCAGGTGCTGCAGCTGCAGCCTGCGCTGCAGCTGGTACAGCTGCTTCACGTGCTGCAGCTCCTGTCGGCGCTGCAGCTGCTGCAGGTGCTACAGCTGCTGCCGGCGCTGCAGGTGCTGCCGGCGATGCGGCGGCTGCAGGCGCTGCAGCAGCAGCCTTGCGGGTTGCAGCAGGTGCCGCTGCTGCTTCTAGTGGCAGTTTTTTCTGGGATTTGCAGGCCGGCAGTTGCTGCGGCCTTAATGCCTTGATTCGGGTTTCGGGAAGTCCCGAAAAAGCGGAAAAAAGCCGAGAAAAAGGGGAAAAAGTTGCGAAAATGTTCAACTTTTTCAGTACAACTCCCCCTCGGGCGGCTGTGGCAGCCGGCGGTTCGCCTGCGCAGCCATTTCCTGCCGCAGCGCCGTCAGCAGCATATCGATGGTGTAGGAGCGTTGCCACTGGCGAAGCAGCGGGAAGCTGTTTTTGACAACCTGCGGCGTCGCAAAGCGCCCTTTTCGCCCCAATTCCCCCATTTCCACTTTTATTTTGCTCCCATTAACTCCATTTACATTTAATTTGCATTTATTTTATATTTATTCCACCTTTATTCCACAAATTGCTCCTTTTCGCGCCGACTACAAGCTTCAGCTCGCCCGCAGCCGCAGCCGGCGCACTGCGGCGGCCCGTGCAAGTCAGAGGAATGCAAATGAGAAAAGGCATGCAAAATGAATAAATAAATATTTCAAAGTCCCCTTTAACCTGATGTCTTTGAATTATATATATATTTAAATATCTGCAGCAAATTCAAGGCTTCGAGAGCTCCGAAAACATATTTATGAGGGCTTTTCCGATGTGCATGCAGCAGCTTCCGGGTGTACGTACACCAGGGATGTGCAGACATGCGAAAGAGTGTAAACGCAAATATAAATGCATTTCAAACACAAAATAAAACAATAAGAATTTAAATAAGAACATGAACACAAATTAAACACAAATTATAAGTCTTAGTTGACTACTATTGCGCCACACGCCCTCATATAGGGTTTAGGGTTTGCGGAAGCAGCTGCAGCACGCGCTGCTGCAGCAGCAGCCACGCATCAAACGAGCAGCAAGAAAGAGGCAAGAGCCACAGCAGCAAAACATTAGCAGAAGAAAAAGGCGTAGAATAATAAATAAAGTAGTTAATCAGTTTGAAACAAATAAAAAATAATTGAAGTGAGTAAATCAATTGAAGTAGACAAAGTGCAAAACAGTAAATTTTAAATCAAATAAAGAATATGAGAGCAATTAATTAACTTGAATTGAACAAAAACGAATGAATAAATTGATTTAAACCGAAAAAAGCAAGAAAAAATAAGTGAATTAATTAATTAAAAGCCTCACTGTGCCGTTGGGGTCCAATAAGTTGAAATAAAGAACAAACGAATAAAGCAATTTGAACCAAATAAAAGATAAAAAGCAACTAATTAATTTGATTTAAACAAAGAAAAAACGAGCAAATGAATTTAAACCAAATAAAAGCAATTACAAATAAACTGGTTAATTAATTAATTAATTAATTGACCAATTAATTTAATTATTTGAAACCTCACCGAGCCGTTGGGGTGCACTAATTCGAATTAAAAAGACCAAAAGAATGAATTCAAATCAGACAAAGCACATAAAAGCAATTAATTACTTCAAATTAAACAAAGAACAAACGAATGAATGATTTTGAACCAAACAAAAGCATTAAAATTAACTAATTAATTAACCAATTAATTAATCAATTAATTAATTAAAGCCTCACTGTGCCGTTGGGGTCCACTGCATGCATATTAATTCTGGTTCTAAAACGAACATCTGGAGGCGCGTCGGGGTAAAGAGGGCCGCAGTTGATGGACACAGAGTAAATGCGGTTTTCGAAGGCCGTCTGCAGCACCAGACCAGTGGTCCGGACCAGTGGACCAGCGGTCACCCCGCACTTGTTGAGTGTGGTCGAAAGTTTCCAACAGTTTAGTGCAATTCAACTGCTTGCAGCGCTAGATCTACAGCTATTCTAAAGAGTAAGACGCGCCGCAGCAGCGCGGCGCTGCTGCTGCTGCTGCTGCAGCAGGGCGGCAGCAGCAGCACCAGCGGCAACCACGCAGTGGTCTGAGGCAGCTCCGCCCTAATGGCAGCAGCAGCAGCAGCGGCAGAGGAGCATAGGTAGAAGCAACACCGACATGCAACAGCAGCAGCAACAGCAGCACGAAAGCCGATGCGGAAGCAGAAGCAGCAACAGCAGCAGGAGAGCCAGCTTGACAGAATGCAACACGCGGACCACCAGCTGCACCAGCAGCAGCAGCAGCAGAAGCTGCTGTTGCTGGCCCACCACAAGGAATACCAGTAGCAAGCAGCAGCAGCAACAGCAGCATCTGGCCCGCTTCAGACAGTGCAGCGTCAGCAGCAGCAGACCCACGGAAGCATCACCAGCAGCAGCACGAGCCGCAGCTCTTCATCCCATAAAACAGCGGCAACAGCAACAGCAGCAGGACCACCAACAGCAGCAGCAGCAGCAGCAGCAGCAGCAGCAGCAGCAGCAGCGTACCCCCGGGGGACCGAAGATGGTCCCTGACCAGTTTGTAAGAGTTATGTCGTCTGCCTCTTCTAAGCCAAAGGAAACCCCTTCAGCCACTTGTCCCTTTTGGCCCTTTTCAAGCTCGTCTAGCAGCCGGAAGGAGCGGGGCACCACCACAGCCTGCAGCAGCAGCAGCAGCAGCAGCAGCGGCAGCAGCAGGGGCGCTGTGGGGGCCGCTGCGGGTTGGGGGGAGGCGCCGCGGCCCCGCGGGC